CCAGACGCCCAGACGCCCGGACACCCGGACACCCGGACGCCCGGACGCCCGGACGCCCGGACGCCCGGACGCCCGGACACCCGGACACCCGGACACCCGGGCACCCGGGCACCCAGACGCCCGGCCCGGACACCCGGGCACCCGGACCCTAGGACACCCGGACACCCGGACACCCGGACGCCCGGACGCCCGGACACCCGGACACCCGGACGCCCGGACGCCCGGGCACCCGGACGCCCGGACGCCCGGACACCCGGGCACCCGGACACTCGTCGTCGTCGTCGTCGTCGTCGTCGTCGTCGTCGTCGTCGTCGTCGTCGTCGTCGTCGTCCCGCTCGGCCGGCCCGCTGGCCGCCTCGGCTCGCCTCGGCTCGGCCTGCGAAGGATGATGATGATGATGATGATGATGATGATGATGATGATGATGATGATGATGATGATGATGATGATGATGATGATGATGATGATGATGATGATGATGATGATGATGATGATGATGATGATGATGATGATGATGATGATGATGATGATGATGATGATGATGATGATGATGATCATGATGATGAGGAGAAGGAGGAGGAGGAGGAGGAGGAGGAGGAGAGCGAGGAGCCGGGGGTGGAATTTGACGCAAGGGGAGGGCGGCGGGGGAGGAGGAGGAGTGGGAGGAGGACATGGAGGAGGACGGGGAGCAGCAGGCGTTCGCAACCCGCATCTCGGGCTGCATGCCGGCGAACAGCATCCAGGGAGAAGGCGAGGGCGAGGAGCAGGAGGAGGAGGAGGAGGATGAGGAGGAGGAGGCCCGTTTCGCGTGAGACATCCTCGGAAGTCTGGGTTCAGAGATGTCGCGAGTTGAGATGATCTGGGCACCCTCGCCTCGGACATCCTCACCACTCTGGGTTCGCAAATGCGGGTCTCGAAGTGTTTCGGCTGGCTCCGCGTGAGACATCGTCGGCGCTCTGGAGTCCGATATGCTTTGACATGAGGTGATCTGGCCAATGTCGCCTGAGACATCGTCGCAACTCTGACCTCGGAGATGCCCTGCCCCATTGTGTTTCGGCCACTTTCGCCGGAGACATCCTCGCAACTCTGGGTTCCGAGACGCCCTGAGCTGAGGTGGTCAGACCATTTCCGCCAGAGACATCCTCGCAACTCTGACCTCAAAGATCTCCTGCCCCATGGTGGTCCGGCCACTGTCGCCTGAGACATCCTCGCAAGTCTCGATTCCGATATGCTTTGGGCTCAGGTGGTCAGGCCACTGTCGCCAGAGACATTCTCGCAACTCTGATCTCGGATATGCTCTCCCCCATGGTGGCTCGGCCTGTCTAGCCTGAGACCCTCGCAACTCTGGATTCCGAGATGCCCTGAGCAGGTGGTCAGGCCACTGTCGCCTCAGACATCGTCGCAACTCTGACCTTGAAGACGCCCTGCCCCATGGTGGCCTGGCCACTTTCGCTTGAAACATCCTCGCGACTCTGGGTTTTGAGACGCCCTGGGCTGAGCTGGTTTAACTGTTTTCGCCAGAGACACCCTCACAACACTGACCTCGATGATGTCCTGCCCCATGGAGGTCCGGCCACTTTCGCCTGAGACATCCTCGCAAGTCTCGGTTCCGAGATGCCCTGAGTTTAGGTGGTCCGTCCACTGTCGCCTGAGACATCCTTGCAACTCTGATCTCGGATATGCCCTGCTCCATGGTGGTTCGGCCTCTCTCGCTTGAGACCCTCGCAACTCTGGGTTCCGAGAAGCCCTCAGTAGGTGGTCAGGCCACTCCTTCATGAGACATCCTCGCAACTCTGGGTTCCAAGACGCCCTGAGCTGAGGTGGTTTAACCATGCTCGCCAGAGACATCCTCACAACTCTGACCTCGATGATGTCCTGCCCCCTGGTGGCCCAGCCACATTCGCCTGAGACGACATCCTCTCAATCTTTCCAGAATTTGTCCCGGTCGTGGCCTAGCATAGCGTCCCGGTCTTGGCTTGCACTGTATCTCTACGTGTACATATATACATACATACACATATTTACGTTCATACGTGTATACATATTCCGCAATCAGAGCTTGCCTCCGCAGGGGTCCTAGCGGATTCCTATGGTTAGGTGAACCGGGCCGCCGATTTCGGTGGCCGGGCCCAGATGCCCGGGGGTGCCCTATAGCCCCATAGCCATATAGCCCCATCAATCCAATTAGCCCAAGTGGTCCCATTAGGCCAATTTGCCCATAAGCCCAATAGCCAAATAGCCAATCAGCCCTATAGCCCTCTAGCCCTCTAGCCCTATCGCCCTATAGTCCAAAAGCCCTCAAGCCTTAGAGCCCTATAGCCTTATAGCCCTATAGCCCTATAGCACGATATCCCTATAGCCATATAGCACAATAGCCCATATAGACTTAAAGCCCTATAGCCCGATAGCCCTGTAGCCCTATAGCCCTTTGCCCGTATAGCCATGTAGCCCTATAGCCCTATAGCCTTATAGTTATGTAGCCCTATAGCCCTATAGCCCGCCAGCCCTGTTGCCCCATAGCCCTATATCCCTAGAGCCCCATAGCCCTATACCTCTACAGCCCTATAGCCCTACAGCCCTACAGCCCATTAGCCTTATAGCTCCATAGCCCTATAGCCGTATAGCCCTATACCATATAGCCCTATAGCCCCATAGCCCCATTGTCCTACAGCCCTATAGCCCTATAGCCCTAGCCCTACAGCCCCATAGCCCTATGGCTCGATAGCCCTATAACCTTTTAGCCATATAGCGCTAGAGTCCTATAGCCCCATAGGCAAATAGCGCTATAAAAATTTAGCCATATAGCCCTATGGCCCTATACCCCCATAGACCTACAGCCCGTTAGCCCTTTGGCCCTACAGCCCTATAGCTTTAAAGACCTTATAACCCTATAACCAAATTTCCCTATAGCTCGATGGCCCAATAGCCCTATATCCCTATAATTAGCCATGTTTCCATGTTGCGATGCAGCCCCATAGCTCAATAGCCTTATAGCCCCATAGCAACAACAAATATGATTGTTTCTTTTCTCTGGTGTTCTATACTCATTTTTGTAACCAGGCCTACATACACTTTCGCATTGGGGCATCAAGGAGCCTGAACGCCCTCGCAACAGGGCGCCCGGACACCTGGACACCCAAACGCCCGGGCACCCGGACACCCGGACACCCGGACACCCGGACGCCTGGACACCCAGGCACCCGGACACCCGGGCACCCGGACACCCAGGCACCCGGACACCCGGACACCCGGACACATGGACACCCGAGCCCCGGGACACCCGGACACCCGGACACCCGGGCACCCGGACACCCAGGCACCCGGGCACCCGAACACCCGGACACCCGGACACCCGGACACCCAGGCACCCGGACACCCGGACACCCAGGCACCCGGACACCCAGGCACCCGGGCACCCGGGCGCCCGGACACCCGGGCACCCGGACACCTGGACACCCAGGCACCCGGACACCCGGACGCCCGGACACCCGGACACCTTGACACCCGGGCACCCGGACACCTGGACACCCGGGCACCCGGACACCCGGGCCCCCGGACACCAGGACGCCCACCCGACACCCGGACACCCAACCCGACACACCCGGGCACCCGGACACCACACCCGGGACACCCGGACACCGGACACCCGGACACCCGGGCACCCGGACACCCGGACACCCGGGCACCCACCCGGACACCCAGACACCCGGACACCCGGACACCCGGACACCCGGACGTGGAGGGGACACCCGGACACCCCGGAAACCCGGACACCCAGACACGCGGACACCCGGACACCCGGACACCCGGACACCCGGACACCTGGACGCACGGACGCCCGGACTCCCGGACGCCCGGACACCCGGACACCCGGACGCCCGGACACCCGGGCACCCGGACACCCGGACACCCGGACACCCGGACGCCCGGACACCCGGACACCCGGACACCCGGACACCGGACACCCGGACACCCGGGCACCCGGACACCCGGACACCCGGGCACCCGGACACCTGGACACATGGACACCCGGACACCCGGACACCCGGACACCCGGACACCCGGACACCCGGACGCCCGGACACCCGGACACCCGGACACCCGGACACCCGGACGCCCGGACACCCGGACACCCGGACACCCGGGCACCCGGACACCCGGGCACCCGGACGCCCGGGCACGCGCCCGGGCACGGTAAAATAGTCATATACCCCACGCTCAGGGCAGCGCTTCGTGGCCCCATAGGGAGCTCCACCGAAGGCCCCCGTGGGGGGAAGCCGCGCGCGGCCCCCACGCCTATTACACGGTTCTGTGGCCCCATCCCAGAGGTCCTCAGGATCCACTTTCTGGATCCGGAAGAAAAGTGGATCCAAGACGAAAAGTGGATCCGGAAAAAGGTCCAACAGAAAAGTGGATCCAGTAAAACACGTTTTTACATAGGTATGCCATTTCTATGTATATATATATATATATATATGCATGTACGCTTATATATGCATATATACACATATACCATATCAACATTATATACATATGTATGTGTATGTATATGTGTATATATGTACAACTACATACATGTGCGTACGTGTATATGCACATTACTTCCATGTACACACGCCCGTACGTTCCTCTCGTGTTGTTGCCGTCTCTCTCGCTCGCGCCTCCCTCGCTCTCGCTCTCCCGCCTCTCGTCCACCTCAAGGCCGCGCGCCGCGGCCGCGCGGCGGCCCCGCCACCGCGCGCGCGGGGCGGCCGCAGAGGAGGCCAGGAGGCCAGGCAGAGGAGGCCAGGAGGCCAGGAGGCCCCAGGCAGAGGAGGGCTAGGAGGCCAGGCCCCAGGCAGAGGAGGCCAGGAGGCCCCAGGCAGAGGAGGCCAGGAGGCCCCAGGCAGAGGAGGCTAGGAGGCCAGGCTCGAGGCTCGGAGGCCATGAGCGGCAGAGGAGGCCAAGCCAGGCCAGCCTCCGAGCTCACGAGCGACCAGACAACCAAGCTGGCGCGGGTGATGCTGAAATTCGTCCTGGATCCCGAGAGTGTGTGCGCCGAGACAGACGGGACCTCGGCCGATGATGTGGTGGAGCACGTGAAACTCGTTTCAGGCATCCGCGCCGTCTTGGCGCCGCGCGACACGTGCAGCCAGTCGCAGCTGAAGTCCGCCCTCGTCGCACACGCTCGGGTGAAGGAGTCCAAGTGGCAGCTGGACGACACCGTGGAGAGCTGGGCCGATCAGGTGGCCACGAAAATACCACGGGGCTGTCGCCGCTACCGCCGCTGGTCATGGGGATGGGGAAGGATAGGGTGGGAGAGAGGGGGGAGAGAGGGAAAGAGAGAGAGAGAGAGAGAGAGAGGAGAGAAGAGAGAGAGAGAGAGGGGGAGAGAGAGAGAGAGAGAGAGATGAGGCTATGGGCGGAGGTTGGGGAGGGAGGGAGGGGGTGAGAAGGGGTCGGGCAAGATGCAATTTATGCCAAATTTATTCCAAAATCATTCTGGAATACATTTGGAATAAATTTGGTAGACATTGCATCTTGCAAGCCCTCTTCGCGCCTCCAGCCTCAAACATCGAACCTCCTGGGCCCGATGCAACTTCCACACGCTCAACCCCCACCCCAAGGAAGGGGGGGGCAGCGGATTCGTGCCATGCTGCGCGTGGTGAGCCAGGCAAAGATCAAGGCGCGAGACAGGGAGCCCTACGCGTGGCTGGAGGACCACTTCCCAGAGGTGGTGCAGGACGCGACGGGGGCGGGAAGCTTGGAGGATGGAGCAGGCGAGGAGTGAGTGTAGGTGCAGCGACGGGGCGACGGCGATGACGAGGACGAGGGAGGATGAGGATGACAGAGGGGGTGGTGAGGAGAGGTCGGGCCCGATGCAAGTTCGCCGTCTCCACGCCTCCGCATCCCGCGCACCCCCCCTTCAGGAAGCAAAGACGAAGGCCGCGGGCGATAACTACGACTACGAGTGGGACAACAACAAGAAGGCGGCGTACCGCCAGAAAGGCCCTGCTAAGAGGCGCTCGCCGCCAGAGTACGGAGTGCCCATGAAGGGGCAGCGGCCAGACGAGGAGCTCGCCTTCACGTGGCCAGACGAGGCGGTGTGGCAGGTGCCAGGATACACGGTGCGCGAGCACCAGGCCAACGTTTCCGACAAGAAGGGTGGCTCGAGCGGCGATCTGCACCATGTGGATACGGATCAGGGCTCCGTCACCGTGACGAAGTACTCGAGGCCGCCCGCTAAAGCTGGCGCCGACAGGCAAGAGTTCGTCGCCGTCTGGATCAAGAAAGAAGGCGATAAGAGGCCAGCGATGGTCGGGCAGGTGACGGTGAAGCCACATTTCGAGAAGCTCGAGGAGTTCATGATCAAGCTCGCGAAGAATTACGCAGGAGACTTCAGCCAGGAGAAGTTCGAGCTCGCTAAACAGGAGTACCTCAAGAGCTATGGCGGGTACGGCGGGCACAAAAAGGCGGCGAAGAAAAGGCCAGGGGCGGCGGAGCCAGCGAAGCCAGTCGAGGACGAGGCAGTGAGGAAAAGGCCAGCAGCACGTGCGCCGATGCGAAAGCCATCGGCACACGAACCAGAATGTGCGCCAGAGGGGGGCGACGAAGACCAGGAGATGGAGGCGGAAGAGGAGGAGGATGAAAGCGCCGCTGAGGACGAGGATGAGGGTGAGGATGAAGGCCCAGGCGAAGATGAGGACGACGACGGCGATGGCAACAGCCAGGCGTCGAGCCAGAGCCAGAGTGAGGAAACGGTCGCAGCCGCGACCGCGGCCAGGAAGGACACAAAGAAGGATGACCCCGAGCAGAAGCGCCCCCCAAAGAAGGACAAAACGACGAAGATGGGGGAAAACCCTGAGAAGAAAGACTCCAAGAAGCGCATGCGCAGCCCAGAGAAGAGGAGCCCGAGGAGCGCAAAGAGGAGCGCAGCCCAGCACGCCGTGAGCGATTCGGACCTCAGCGTGGGCTCGGGCTTCGGAGGCTAGGAGCGGCAGAAGAGGCAGAGGAGGCTGAGGAGCGAGGAGGAGCGAGGAGGAACGAGGAAGCTCGAGTGGCTCCAGGCTCGCGAGCTCTGCGTGAGGAAGCCCGCGCGCAGGCCGCCGCCCCTCCGGCCTCGCGGGCAGGAGGCTGGATCCCACGTCCGCCGCGCGGAGAGGCAAGTCAATGGCGGGGGGGTGAGTAGGTGGAGGGGTGAGTGGAGCGGTGAGTAGGCGAGTGAGGGTGGAGGTGTGAGTAGGAGGGGTGGGAGGGTGGGGGGGAGGGGTTAGTAGGAGGGTGGATGGGGTGAGCAGGAGGGTGGAGGGTGAGTAGGAGGGGTGGAGGGGTGAGCAGGCGGGTGGAGGGTGGCAGGGGCGAAGACGAGCGCTGCGCGGGGGGGCGCATCGGCAGCCACTCTGGCTCAAGGACAACACGCATGCCGCGCGAGCAGCTCGCCGTCAAGTTTGCAGATATCAGGAAGTACGCCGTGATAGTGCCGATGAGTCAGGTCAAGGCCACGCCGCCGAGGCGCCGTCGTTCTGCCAAAAGCAGCTCTGGCAGCACGAGCGGCCAAAGCATTACGAGCAGCCCCCACGCGGCCAATAGCCCATCAGAGCTCACCCCCGCCACCCGCAAGAGCTTCGAAGATGTCGAGGAGTGGATGCTTGGCAGCATCGATCTGGGAGGAGGCCGCCTGTCGACCGAGGAGGAGGCGGCTGAGGCTGAGGAGAAGAATGAGGCGAAGGAGGTTGAGGCTGAGGAGCAGAAGGAGGCGAAGGAGGGTGAGGCTGAGGACGTGGATGTGGTTGGGGATGCGGCTGAGGAAGCGAAGGCGGCTGGAGAGGGTGAGGAGGAGAAGAAGGTTGATGACGATAAGGCCAAGGAGGAGGCGGCGAAGAAGGCTGCAAGCGAGTCGGAGGACGAGCAGCTCCAGGACATCGCTGAGCAGGTTAAGAAGGCAAAGGCGGCCAGCATGGCGACGCTGAAGAAAGAGCAGGACCGATCGCACCACCTTCAACGCTCTCTCGCCAACCCATCTTGCCATCCCCCATCCGTCCTTGCCGCACCGCCCCGAGGAGCGCATCGCGGCTCGCATCGCGGCTGATGGTGCAGCAGAAGAAGAGGGCTCGAAGGACTGCCCCCCACCCGCGATGCAATTTCTACCAAATTTATTCCGAATTTATTCCAGAATAAATTTGGAATAAATTTGGTAGAAATGTTGATCGGACGTCTGTATAGTTTCAGCGTGTATGTGTGTGTGCGTGCGTGCTTGATGTACGTGTGTTGTATGATGATATACGGAATACTAAAAGAAAATAGCACGCGCGCACGCAATATTATATATATAGCAAACGAGAAAACACAACACCACACACAATACAAAACAAACACGTACAGGAGGCAGCGCAGCCGAAGGAGAAGAGCCGCAAAGCAGAGGAGGAGGCGCAGAAGAGGGTGAGGAGGCAACCTGATGAGGACGAGGCGGCACGTCTGAAGAAGGCGAGGGGCAACTCGAGATCGTCCTCACCCCAATGTGCGAAGCCTGCGTGGGCTGGCGTGCACTGCGGAGACGGCGAGTCCCCCGCCCCGACATCGGTGGCATCGAGCGGCTCCTCGGGAATCGCCCCAATCGGGGGTCACCGTTCGATGGGCATCACGGCCACTTCTCGCGAGCCGATTGGAACATCCAACCATATGTTCTCGAACACGTTCCCCGACAGCAAGGAGTGTCTGATATCGGCGATCGACTGCGAGATCAGAGCCATCAACGACGAGATGGCATGCCATCCATGCCCCGACGAGCGCACGATGGAGCATGCGAACATCAGGCTGGGACAGTTCTTTCAGTCTGGGCTCGTACAGAAGATGGCAGCGTTGAAGAAAGCAGATCCCAGCTTCAACTACGAGGATGAGGAAAAGCTCCCAGAAGAAGGTGAAGATGCGGACGACGGCCTCAGTAAGAAAGACAAGGAGGAGAAGAAATTCTATGAGGAGATGGAAAAGAACAACTTCATGTTCACCACGGAGACGAGATCGGGAAACAAAGTCGGTGGGCGTTGGAGCAAGGCGCTAGCGGCGTCCGAGAAGCTGAGGAGGGACTACGCGGAGCAGAAGGGATGGCCAGCCCAGCGGACGTTCAGAGCGAACTGGCTCAAGCTCGAGAAGGCGGCTTGGGAGAAGACGGTGACGTACGTGAAAAAGGAGACGCATGAGAAGGAGGATAAGAAAAAGGGCGAATACGTCACCCTGATGAGGCTGGCGTGGCTCAAGGGTGGCGGCACCGCGGGCCTCCGCCTGGCGCTGAAGCACGCGTCGAACGCGATGCTGCTGGGTGGGTACTGGGTCCGGTGGGACGACATGTCCGAATCAGTGGAGTTCTTGAACATCAAGCACCAGCTAATCGAGACTTTCAAGAAGAGCTGGTCGAAGCATAAATCGTGGGTGGAGCAGAGGACTGCTATCGAAGGCCCAGCACCGTCACGTGCAATCGCGGGTGGTGTCAACCAGCTCCGCGATGAGGAGAAGAATGCCGACACGGAGAACAAGGACAAGGTGGGTGACAAGGGTACGTCCATGAAGGAGGAGTCTAAAGAGGACAAGAAAGACAAGACGGTAAAGAAAGACAAGAAGCACAAAACAGAAAAACATGAGGTTGAGGAGGAGACAGCCTCGGGTGATGGCAAGGCGCACAAGAAAGACAAGAAGGCTACGGACGGCAAGGATGCCAATAAGGACATAAAGGACAAAGACGGCAAGAAAGACAAAAAGGACAAAGACGACAAGAAAGATAAAAATGACAAAGACGAGAAGAACGACAAAAAGAACAAAGGCGAGAAGAAAGACAATAAGGATAAATACGACAAAGAAAAGAAGAAGACGCCAGAATTCCTCGTCAAGTTCAGGTCGCTGAAGCAGAACTACGACTGGGCAATCAGCCAGCATGCCAAGCTCGACGGGCTCATCAAGTCCAAGGACCAGTCATGGAAGATCGTCGGCAAGCTTCGTGAGCCCATGGACCTTGCGATGCAGGCCGTGAACGCCAAGTGTCAAGAGCACGGCCTCCTGTCGATGATGGCCCTTGCGGAAGCGCAGTACAAGAAGCAGGTGCACCGACGACGACGACGCCGACGACTACGCCGACGACTACGCCGACGACGATGACGATGACGATGACGATCACGACGACGACGGCGACGACGCCGACGACAGGTGGGTGATAAAGAGTTCGAGAACGCCGTTCAGAAGGCGAACGCTACGCTGACCCAGAACGTCACTCAGCTGGCCTCAGAGGTGAGGATCTTGATAAACCAGAAGCTTGCGAGGGATGAGGAGGATGCGAGGCAGAGGGCAGCGGAGAACGGAGACAGCGCGAAGAAGGGCACGAGCAGCAGGAAGAGGAAGGATGCGAAGGAAGAGGCGGCCGCGAAGCGCAAGAAAGGCGAGAAGGAGGGTGTGTCGTCTGAGTCGGACTGAGGGCTGCAGCGAGGCATGCAAGAGGAGGCGGAGGAGGACCAGAGGAGGCCGCTGCATGCAGCAGCTGTTCTGAGCGCGGGCCGCCGAGTGAGCGGCGTGCTCGAGGGCCAGCAAGCCACCACCCCTAGACCCATGGATCCACTTTCTGGGCCCCACCTCCTGGATCCACTTTGTTGTGGATCCAGATTTTCCTGGATCCACTTCTCCCTGGATCCACTGTTTTTCCTGGATCCACGGTTCCCTGGATCCACTTTTTCCTGGATCCACTTTCCCTGG